TCCCGCCTCATACTTCCTTTATATCCATGCCTCAGGGGCACACGAATGACAACTGCTGCAAGATTCCGATGGCCCGCCTCGGATTAAAAACATGTGCTGCAGACCCCATGGGGAAGAGCTCCCGCCCGAGACTCCCTCTCAAGTCACTCACAAACGAAGTTCCCGCCTCATGTTTCCTCCATGTTCAGGCCTAAAGGGGGCCCAAAAATGACATGTACAAACTTCCGATAGCCCGGTCGGATTACAAGCACGAGCTGCGGGCCCGATACGGAGGGGGCTCCCGCTTGAGACCTCTTCGCAATCCACTCACAGACGAGGCTCCCGCCTGACAATTCCGCCACATTCAGACCTCAGGGGGCCCAGAATTGACGACATTTACACATTTCCGATGAACCACCCCGGATTACAAACATGAGGTGCGGCTCCCATGGGGAGGGGGCGCCCGCCCGAGACTCCCTTGCAAGCCACTCACAAACGAGGCTCACGCCTCACACTTCCTCCATATTCGGGCCTCAGAAGGCCCAGAAGTGACGACAGATACTGGTTTCCGATAGCCCGCTCGGATTACAAACGTGAGCTGCGGGCCCCATAGCGAGGAGGCTCCCGCCTGAGACTTCCTCGCAATTCACTCGCAGGCGAAGCTTTTGCCTCATACTTCTCCCATATAAAAGTCCCTGGAGCCCAACAGTGCCGATTGTTACACGTTCCCGATGACCCGCTCGGATTACAAACACGAGCTGCGGGCCCCATAGGGAGGGGGCCCCCGCCTGAGACTTCTTCGCAATTCACTCACAGACGAGGCTCCCGCCTGAGATGAGTGAGTGAGTCCGTGAATGGGTGAGTGAGTGAGCGAAGATGAGAATGATGAGGATGGTGCTGATGAAGATGCTGATGGTGATGATCCTGATGACGACGATGATCATGATGATGCTGATGATGAGAGCGCTGATGTCAGTGATGATGGTGGTGATGTTGATGGTGATTTTTTCCTCGGCACCAGGACCAAACTATTGAGCAACACGTCGTAGGGAAAAAAATGATCCGTCGCAGAGAGCTCGATTGCTCCTTAAAGAGCTCGCCAGGAGCCGTGTTTCACGGGGCGCTGCGCACATGTGAAATCGTAGACAGCTGGCGACGCCCGCGTTGCATGCTGAGCGCGGGGGGCATCGGAGGTTGGAGAAGAGACCGCGGCCCAGGCTGGCCACGCAAGACCCGTCGTGAGGCCAATCATCTCGAATTCGTCCAGGTGGAAATCATGCTTGCATCTGGATAGCTCTCGGACTCGAGAGCTGATCGCGTGGGCCCTCGGGCCCTTCAAGATGGGCTGACCCCGAGTCAGCAGCTGCCGGGCCGCCTGGTCCATTCGCAAGAAATGAAGCTGTAGAGTCTGGCTGCGCCAGCCCTGCCGACCCCGAGTCTGCTGGCCCAGACAAGAAGACACAAAATGCTGAGACTGGCGGCGCACGCCTTACGGCATGCCCCAGCTCTCAGTCTTCTAGGACTGGCGGCGCGCGCCCTGCGGCACGCTCCTGCTCTGAGTCCGCTGAGACTGGCAACGCACGCCCTGCCGCCCTCGAGTCGGCTAGCCCAGACAAGAAAAAAGAAAAAGCTGAGACTGGCGGCGCACGCCCTACGGCATGCTCCAGCTCTGAGTCTTCTAGGACTGGCGGCGCACGCCCTGCGGCATGCTCCAGTTCTGAGTCGTCCGAGACTGGCTGCGCACGTCCTGCCGACACCGAGTCGGCAGCTGCTGGGGCCTGGCCCAGAAGCGAAGCCAGGACCTGCTGAAACTGGCGGCGCGCGCCCTTCGGCACGCCCCTTCGTCGTAGCGCCTCCTGTGGTACTGCTCCGCTCCGTGGCGCATGATGTCGGCGAAGGGATGGTCGTGGTGCCTCCTGCGGGACAACTCCACTCCGTAGCGCATGCTGTTGACGCAGGGCTTGTCGTAGTGCCCCCCCGTGGTACTGCTCCACTCTGCAGCGCGTAGTCTCGGCCAAGGGCTCGTCGTAGCGCCTCCTGTGGCAATGTGCACTCCGCAACACATGATGTCGGCGAAGGGCTCGTCGTAGTGCCTCTCGCGGTACTGCCCCGATCCGGCGATGTTGGCAACATCATCCTAGAGTGTGTCCCCTCATGCCTCGTCCATGAGTTTCGTGCGCGGCTCGTGCTCCGCCTTCAGGTTCTCCTGCTGCGATTTCTCGGACTCCTTCTGCGTGGGTAAGAACTGCGCGGAACGAAAGTGCAAGACAATGCGCACGTTGCCGTCGTCGGAGCCGTGGTACTCAGAGATGTACACGACGTTGGACTGCTGACAGTATGCAAGAAGATGCTGACAGAGACGTACACGACGATGTACAAGAGTGGAGTGGGAGTTCCCTGTTGACAGTATGCAAGAAGATGCGCACCTTGCCATTGTCGCAGCGGTAGCACTGGAAATGATACTCGACTTTGGACTTCGCTCGGTAAGTTGCGCAGGCGGGGTGGTAGTTCCCCTATGACGATGGCAACCGGACCCTTGGTTTCGATCTTGTGGTTGTCGTACACCTTCTCGTCTTGGTTGCGCCGCGCCGCTGCCAAGAACTTCGTAAACAGCTCGTACTCCGCCTTGACCGCCACCAGCTTTTCTCTTCTCGGCGCCGTCGAACTGCTTGAGCTGCTGCTCGGCGTGCTCGTTGGATGTGTGGCTCATAAGCAACGATTTGTTCTTGTAGTGCTGCTCCCATTTTTGAGACAACCTCCGCATGCAAGGCGTCAGCATGCCGCACGAGGCGCACCTCCGGAGCTGGCATCCGTGCGAGCTGCCATCGCAGTGTGCTCTCTGCCTCTTGGCGAACAATGGATGGCTCTTCTGAGGAGACCGCTGTGTCACCGAAGGCTTGAGCGCGCGGCGGCCTTTGGTGATGGTGATGATGATGATGATGCTGATGAGACTGCGAGTGAATGAATAGGCGGGCGGGTGGGTGAGTAGGTGGGTGCGTGAGAGAGTGGTGATGATGAAGAGTGCGTGGGTGGGTGAGTGTATGGGTGGATGAGTGAATGAGAGTGGTCATGTGAGTGATTGAGTGAATGAGTGTGCGATAAGAAAAGAAGAGAGGGTGTTCTTTCCTGCGCGGGGGGGTGCAGAGAAAACAACAACTCCACTTAGAATCCGGGGGGGAAACGATCACTGTCCTTGCATTTCACGTCGCACTTCTTTTGGGCTTTGTCAGGGCTGATGTAGAGCGCGTCGCCGACAGCGAGAGCCCTGAAGCGCCGCCAGCTGCCGCCGGGAAACTGAAGCTGCTGAGCCAATCGAACCGCGAGAGCAACACCAGGAGGAGGAGGAGGAGGAGGAAAGGAGGAGGAGTAGGAGGAGAAGCAGGAGGAAGAGGAGGCGGAGGAGGAGGAGGAGGAGGAGGAAAGGAGGAGGACGAGGAGAAGGAGAAGGAGGAGGGAGACGACTCCTTCTCTTCCCACTCCTCCCCATCCTCTCCTGGGTCCGTGAATATCGCGAATCGTGTTGTTTCACCTCCTCCTCCTCCTCCTCCACCTCCTCCTCCTCTTCCTCCTCCGTTCCTCCCTCCCGCCTCCTCAACCTCCACTGCTTCCCCGAACTCCCCCTCCTCCTCCGCCTCCTCCACCTCCTCCTCCTCCTTCTCCTTCTCATCCTCCTCGTCCTTCTCTTCCTCCCTCCTCATGCGCTTCCTGCAAGTCCGCCTCGTCCTGCTCCTGTATCTGGTCGCTGCCCTCCTGCTCCTCCTGCACATCCTGCTCTGGCTCCTCCTACTCCTCCTGCTGCTACGCCTCTCCCCCTTCTCCTACTCCTGGGTTCTTTTTGGTGTCTGGTTAGAACTACGAGGAAGCTCCCGGGCATGTGCAATTTGGCATGCATGCTTGCACATACAGAGACAAGGGGGCGGGAGACACATCGCGGCAATCCGCGGAGCAAGCCTCCTCACGCCCCAACCGCACTTCAGCGGTCCCCGTCACTGTCATTAAAATCGCTGCCTTCAGACCCCTACTTTCGCGCACAATCGTGCTGGAGCTTGAAACTTTTGTAGGGATACAGGGGTCTGTAGAACCCTAGAGCTTTTGGCGGGACTTCCCAAGCCAGACCGCCGACTCTGAATCTCTTGGTTCCCCCATCCACAAACATCTCCCCTGCTCCTTCTCCTCCTCCCCCTCCTCCTCCTCATCCCCTTTCCCTTATCCTCCCGGTCATCCTTTTCCTCCTCGTCATACCCCTCCTCACGGTGTTTCATGGTTGTCGCGAAGGTGCAGGTCGAGGAAGCCTAGCTTACACCTGCAATATCGGAATGGAAACACACAGCGTCACTCCTCAGGGCTTGCTACCTGGGAGGGCCTCTCCAAGGCAACACATCCCTCCCTCTCCGCGTATCGCCAGATCTATTCCTCCCTGCACTCTGGGGAGCGTGGGGGACGACAGGGGTGCGGAAACAAGTCGTGGCCCCGCTGCTACGACCCCTCCCCTGATCAGAGCACAACCTCTGTTAGTAGGCTGGATGACTCGAGGGAGGAGGAGGAGGAGGAGGCATTCTCCTCCTCAACCTCCCCCTCCCCCATCTCTCTCCTCCAATCCTCCTCCTTCCCATCCTCGTCCACCTTCGGCGAAGGAAACCCGTCCCGCAATTCCGGGCTTACCGTCCCGCGTTCACCTCACGAGCTTCCAACGTTCGTGGGCTGTTCCCTCGTAAATCCAGGGATCGCCTCAAAAGTTTCGGGTTGGCCGCTGGGGTCCTGGTTTTGCCCTACCCGTTTCCCAATTCGTCCCGTTACCGCCGCCACCATCCACTGGGCAAAACGATCTGCCGTGTCTATGAAGGATACACGCCTTGCGCACGCGTGTGGGGCACGACTAGTACACGACAATCTGTGGTGCTGCCACGCACCAACTGCAAAACCATTCCCGGCTCAGTTAGGCGCAGCTCTGCCCCATGCGTCACCAGAGGATGCGCCTGTGCCGCCTCAGTCCTCGACATGATCGGACCAACCTGCGAGTCCTAATCTGAGTCTTCGCTGTCTGAGTCGTCGCTGTCTGAGTCCTCGCCTTTGTGTCTAGAGCTATCAAACAGCGCTGGCGTCAACTCCAAGGCAATGCCCTTGGTCTCCACCACAAAGGTCCAGACGAAGAGTCCACAACCGATGTTCAATATTGCGAATACATAGAAGGTGCCAGTGATGCTCCAGTTCATCAGCACGGGCGTGATGTACACAATCAGCGCATTGAACATGTAGTTCACGAACACTGCGATTGACAATGCCTTTTCCTTCTCCAACATCGAGAAGATCTCTGAGGGGTAGATCCACGGCACCATCCCCCAAGCAAGCTGAAAGCCGCCTCCATAGATGCAGACCATAGCTGCAACGATCAATGGGTTCCACGCCATCTGCAAGCCCATAGAAGCTACGACGAGCGGCGGGCCCATGATGGCAGTAGCAGCCAATAGCTGGCTCCTGCGTCCGCCATACTTCGAATCGATCAGGACGAGGCCAAGGATGACGAACAATATCATCCAGAGGTTGAACACCAGGGTAACTTGGATGGGATCATCAAAGCCGCACTTCCCGAAAATCACCCCCGAGTACGAGAGGAAGGCGTTCACACCAGTCAACTGCTGGGCCATGACGAGGCCACATGCTATCAACACTCGCTTGCGAAGATTGCGCTCTTCGAAGAGACCAGTATAGCTCACCTCGGTCATATTTTTCTCTGCTTGAATCTCCTCCCACATCTCCTCTGCTTCAATGTCCACATTGCCCTCGCGAATCTTTTGAAGCTCTTCCTTCCCCTTTTCGTAGTCCCCTGTGGAAGCCATCATCCACCGGGGCGACTCTGGGAGGAAGAATGACGCAAGCGCGAGAATTGCCCCTGCAAGTCCTGGAAGGAACATGCCAAATGCCCAGTTCTTGTAAAACGTACAGATGAGGGTGGCCACGAGACTTCCGACCGCGACGTTCAGCTGGAAAAACGAACCTGTCAGACCGCGGATTGTCGGGGTGGAGCACTCCGAGTTGTACACCGGCAAGACCAAGCAAGCCACGCCGACGCCAAAGCCCGTGATGAAGCGGCCAACGTAGAAGACGGGGATGCTGCCAAAGGACAGGTACGAGGCCAGCAAGCAACCCATGCAGCAAATGAACCCTCCGATGCCAATGCTCCGTCTGCGCCCAAGCTTATTCATCATCACGGGACCAAGTGTCAACGCCCCCGCGGCGGCACCGAAAGTGATGAGCGTGCCACCCCAGAGGATGAAGCCGCCGTCCCACTCCTTGTTCTCCTTTACTAGCTCACCGTGGCAGTGAGCTTTATCACCAAAATTGTGATCGCACCAGTGCGACTCGAAGTCCTCGAAGACAGACACGACTCCGAAGTTACCTTGGTCAAGCCCAAACATCATTGCCCCAACCATGGCCATGGCGATGGCAAAGAACATCGTTCCATTCGGCTTCGCCGTATGGGCTGAGGTCTGCTTCCCCACCGCAACCTCCCCCCCCGTGTATGAAGATACCATGGCTGCACCAGGTTTGCCCCCGACGTGCTGGCGCGCTTCCTCTAGAGCAAAACTTCTTGCACCAAAATTTCTCATGACGGACCACAGGTTGGCCACTGTTAGGGGCTGGCTGGTCGGACTCATCCCGGCTTCGAACTGACCGGTGGCTTTCCCTCCTTTGCTCCCTAAACGCAGCCTGCACCGAAAGGGCTCTCGCCTGGCTCGGAACCGGCTGCCCTGGGCTGCCAGGAAGCTAAGTGATTCGGCCACGTCCTCAGTCGTTCCCGGCCCTGGTGCTGCCCTGCGCTGCTGCCAACTTGTCTTGGCCTGGCCCTGTCCCCGACCGTCCCCAGCTCCTGGTGCCGTCCTGCGCTCTGCCGCCAATCTCCTGTTTTCTCGGCCATGTCCCCGATTGTTATTGGCCCTGGGGCTGATCGGCGCTACTGCCAATCTCCTTGGTTCGGCCCCGTCCCAGAATGTCCCCTGCCCTCGCACTGCCCTCGCTGCTGCCTACCTTCTGCGCTTCGGCTCGGTTCCTGACTGTCCCCCCAGGCTCCTCGTGCTGCCCTGCGCTACCGTCAAGCCACTCGATGTTTGCCGCTACTTCCTCTGGGGTCCACGCGGGTGTGTCTCATGTCGCTGATGCTCCCCCACTTCCCTGCTCACGGCTATTCGCCCAGGAATCGGCTCTAGGTGGACGACCCATGATTGCCCAGTCTACGCCAAGAAGGCGGGCACCCTGCGGGCCCTGTGCAAGTCAGACGATTGGAGGGTACTTGGTTCCGTTGCTGGCTACGTGGTTAGCTGTCTAATCCTGAGGGGATGGGAGGGCTCGCGCCTCCCAACCCGACCTACTAAAGTTGAGGCGTTCGCCTCCGAGGTACGGTGCATCCAAGACGGCTCAAGAAGGCTTCGAAATGGGCCGAGGTGACTCGAAGATTGCCTCCGCGATGGCCCGAGGCTACCCCCAGATGGCTCGATATAGCTGCGAATATGCTTCCACGAGGCTTCAAGATCGCCCCGAGACGGATCCCAACGGCCACCTAATCTCCCAATGAAGTCCCAGAGAAGCGATAACCCGTCAAAGCATTTCGAACATTACTGGCTGTTGCCATGCCGTCGATTCGCTACCGATGGGCGTCCGAGGCTTCAAGATAGCCCCAAGAATGACTCAAGCGAGCCCCACGAGGAGCCAAAGAGCGCGCCAAGACGGCCCCAAGAGCGACCAAGAGCCACCCCAAACATTCCCCAAAAGGCCTCACGACGGCCAAAGAAGCCTCAAAGACGGCCCCAGAGCGTCCCAAGCCAGTCCACAGAGGCCCCCAAAGGCAACGCCAGAAGGCGTAAGGCGGGCCAAGAGCTCCATGAGACAGCCCGGGAAGGTCACAAGAGGCCCAAGACAAGAGAACCCCCAAGGGGCCCCATGAGGCCCCCGCGAAGCCCCCAAGAAGCCCACAAGAAGCATCACAAAGGCCCCCAGGAGGACACAAGAGTGGCCCAATAAGACCCAACGGATGCAAACGTGCCTACTCTAGTGCGTCATCCCGCTGCTCCTCCATCCCTTTTCCTCATAACTGGCTCCCCCCTGTCGCACACCGAGACGTGTCGGTCGGGCGGGCGTTTCGCCCGAGATTTCCTCACCGCCCGTGTTCTTTAAACTTACAAAAAATGCAGCAGCTTCACGGGTGGAGGGCGGAAGAGTTCAAGATGCGGCTCTGTCCTAAACGTCGGGCTCTTTCGCCTTAAAAAAAACACGCGAAGGTTTCACAGATGCAGGGCGGGGCCGTGTTCAACGTGAGACTCTTGCCGTAGCGCCGCGAGCATTCTGTTACAGCATTTGCAAACGCCTCGCGGATGGAGGGGGGTGCCTTTCCCTTACAGTGTGTGGCTATCGCCTTCGCGCCACGTGCATTCGTCTCACGAGCTTACAACAATTGAAAGGATTCTCATAGTTGGTATCCCCGTAACAGTCTGTTGGCACGACGTAGGACTGCCAGGGCGCAACCGTTTCCTTGATTTGCGGTGCTGACGTTGCAGGGACAACGCGCTGGCGCGGTTCGGGATCGACAGGCCGCAACAGGAATGTGGACTCTAGTCGACGTTGCAGTACCAAGAATGGCGTCCTGGCGCTATTCAGAAATTCAAAAGACTGTCTTTCAACAGGGCACTTCCCTCAGCGAAGAAGAACCCCGGCAGGGACTCATGAGATGGTAGCTCGGGGAAGGGTTGATTGTAACATCGTCAACCAGCCTTGGTTTTACACTGGTGCCCCTCCTCCTCCTCCTCCTCCTGCTCCTCCTCCTCCTCCTCCTCCTCCTCCTCCTCCTCCTCCTCCTCCTCCTCCTCCTCCTCCTCCCCCCCCTCCTTTTCCCCCTTCCTCCTCCTCCTCCATGGTCGCGAGATTTGCGGGCCGGCTTCCCGAAGGGGGGCCCGCCGCGCCTCCCGCTCTGCGGGCTCATTGGCCCTCCCGTCCTGGATCGGCGACCTCCGAGATGGCTTCGATAATGCCACCGAAAAGACCACAAGAGAGCCCTCCAAATCGCACAGCGGGCCTCCAGAAATCGCCGACGAAACTCTCCAAAGGGCTTCAAACATTCGATCAGGTTTGACGGCCGTGCCCCTTTTCGTCTATGTTCTGATCCGCGCTGGCATGTTTCCCTGATCGAGCCAACTCGCCAGGGATTTGTTTATGGGTGGGCTGGCGGCGATACTTTTTGATCGCGACCGCGGCGAAGGCAAGTCGGGCGGCGTCCAGGGCACTGCGAAGAAAATAACGGCCTAAACTAGCGCAGAGGAGGAAGAAGGGCGGAATGAGGACAAGAACGAGCAGGGGAGAGACAAACAGGAGGCGAGCCTCACTGCCGCCCAGAGGAGCGCGAGCGCCAAGAGGAACATCCCGGCGGCGTGCAACACCAGGTGGTAATTCAAGTAGCCAATCACGCCGCAGATGAAGAAGACCGCCAACAAGACGAACAGCACGCCGAGGCGAAAGCTAGGGAGGCGGACGTAGGACGGCGACCCCCGACACGGAGGAAAGACCGGACATGCGGGCGCTCAACGGAGAGATCCGGATCGCCAGACACCGGGTGGTGTCTAGGGGCAGCGGGGGAAGCGAGTCCCGCCCATGCTGCAAGGCGAGGGGTAACGGCCAGAGGGCAGGTGCGACCGGCAGACGCCCAGGAGGCGGGAGGCACGGCCCAAGGTAAGGGGCAGCGAGGGGGAGGACCAAGTGTCCGCCGACCCCATGCGGGGAGGGGGGCAGGCGGCAGGCGGAATGCGAGGCGCAGACCACCAGACGGCCAGAGAGAGATCCCCAAGGAGGAGGAGGCCAGCTGGCAGACCGCTGGGACAGCCAGGAAGCCCCCAACGGAGGGGGAGGCCCGCAGACCAGCGCCCTGCGCCGGGGGGGGGTCCCAGCGGCCTCACGCGCGAGGTCTGGGGTGGTGGCAGAAAGCGGAGGGCGAGAAGCTGCCGCAGACCAGGTCGAGAGAACGGGCTGGTGGTGATACTTTTTGGTCAGCGGCTCCAAGGCAACGGACAGGGAGCCGAAGCGGCGTCCGGGTCACGGTACGGGGCTAATTTGCAAAACAATTGCCGCCAGTGTCGGCGGACAAAGCTCGCACCTGCAAGACAAGCCCGCAGTTGCACGTGCACAGAACAAAATGAACTAAATTCACAGGGCAATCGCACTTAGGCGCAGCAGCCCGAACCGAAGTGGGCAAGCCGTGGAGAAGAAAGTGCGGATGCATCGAAGTGAGTCGCCAGGGCGGCGCCAGACTCCTTGCCGACCTGCACAAGCCGAGCGGCTGTGTGGTCACCGGAAACAGTGCGCGTCGGGGGAAAGACGAAAGGCTGCACAGGCGTTGTAGGCTGAACCACTCACCGCCCGGTCCTCAGTGATCCGCCTCCCAGTGCCGAGGTGCCAGCGGCTGCCCAAGGCGCAACTGTGGTGCCGTACCCTGAAGCGAAGAGGTCCTCTAGCGTGGGCAGCACCGCCGTCGGGTGGCGATGGTCGGCACACTGGTGGTGGAGACGCCTGCGCTGCCTGCCAGGGGGGTCCTGCTGCAGTGAAGCTGAGGTGGCCAGCCAACCCAGACTGTCGCATGGCGCTGCCCCTGAGCCCGAGCGCCGACACACACCAGGTGTCTCCCCACAGCCGTGGAAACTGCCGCTGGGGGCGCCAAGGAAGACCATGAGCAGCGCGTACCACGGTGCGAGCAGGGAGGGGAGGGCCACAACCCAGCGAAGGCCGCAACGGGCGAGCCCCGAGGCCACGGGTGGGGGACACCCACCGAGCCTGGGAGGGGGGAGGCGAGGGGACGCAACGCCTCGCCCCACGGCCAGAACCTGCAGCCGTAGCCAGGGGCCGCGGCCTGTCACTTGGAGCGCCCAGGGGGTCGCTGCTACTCGCCGAGAGCATCTGCGTGGAAGAACGGGGGGTCGCAGCTAATCGCCGCTAGGAACCATTTACACCGTGGGGGTCGCAGCTAATCGCCGCTGAGGTCTCTGTTGAGTGTGCGGCTGGTGGTGATATGCGAAGCGTTTAGAATTTCTCTGAAGCAACTCGGCAAGACTTGCCCCCCCAGCCGGTGACCGACCCCAGGCGGGGCAGCGAGACTGCGACTGGGGCAACTCCACCTGTAGCGCAGGGGCTGCAGCGCCGGCGCGCGCCCTTGGGGCGTGGTGCGCGGTATAGGGGGTGGGCAATCCCCGGCTGGTGCTCGGCACCATGGCCTGGGAAGGCGGCGGGGTCGAGCCGCATGGCGGAGCCGACCCAGAGTTGGGGGGGGGCAGCGCCGGCGGCGACCGGAGCGGCAAAGCGGGAGGTGAGCCGCAACGGCAACGACCCCCAAGTGGGCAGCAGGCACTGAAGGGCAGGGGCGGAGCCCCTGCCAGCCGCACGGGCTGCAGGAGCGGCA